ATGCTTTACAGCGTCCCCCTGGATATACCAGTTCCCACCTGGTATAATACCATGTTGTCATCACAGTAGTTTGCTGTATTCCCTATTCTGTACTTACATCTCCATAACGGTTGTGTACTTGCCAGTTTGTACTTCCTCTTCACCCAATTCCACAGCTCCCTCCCCTCTGACACCTTCCCCTCCATTCTCTGTGTCTGAGTCCGTGTCAACTTTGTCCATTTATTTTGTTCTTTAGATTCCACACATGATAGATAACATGTGGTATTTGTCTTTCTCTGATTGACTTATTTCACTGACCATAATACCCTCTAGGTCCATTATGCCACCACAAATGGTAAGATTCCATTATTTTTTATGGCCAAGTAATACTCCATTGTTTATATGTACGATAGCATTTTTATCCACTCATCTGACGGGCACCTGGTTGCTTCCATATCTCGGCTATATGACAATGCAGTGAACGTAGGAGTGCACATATTTTTTCAAAGTAGAGTTTTGGGTTGCTTTGTATAAATCCTCAGAATTGACTTTTTTTTTTTTAAATTCTTTTGCATCTAGAGATGATGATAATTTCCCCCCTTTAATTTGGTAATGTGGTCAGTTGCATTAATTGATAGTTTAATAACAAACCAATTTGCATATCTGGCACAAACTCAGTTTTATTATCATGCATTTTCCTTCTTTTAAGTAATAGATACAGTTTAATTTTTTGAGTTGATTAGTGCCATTGTGGTCACTGAATATGGTATCAAATTTGTTGAGCTTTCTTTCTCTTATTTTTTGGGGGTTGTTTTGCTGTTATACACTCTACCACATTTTTTGTGGTTACCTTAGAAATTTTACATTCATATTTAGCAAAGCCTAAAGTTAGACAACTTTATTTTCTTTTAGAGCAATACAAGAACCTCACACTAACTCCAGTAACATCTCTTTTTACTTGTTATTATAGCCAAGTATCTTCTTTTCATCTTTTTTTTTTCAAATACTGCATTATCGTTAGTTTCATTTAGTCCATGTTTGTTTAAAATTATTACTTCTTTCAGAGCTAAGAAAGTGGTAATCATTTGAAACAAATCATTTCAATGAGGACAAATGGAAAGTAATAATCAATTGAAATGATAGTTAATCATTTCAGTCAGGACAAACTGAAAATAATAATCACCCTTTATCATACACTGAGGTAGCATAAGCAAGAGGCAAAAACAGGCCCCAGCTCCCCAGTGTTCCATTCCTCCCACCCCCCAGCATCATTTTGGGCAAGGGTCAGACACATTGGGCAGATGGAGGGGAATCATTTCACTGCCAAGAGCTTTGAAGAAAGGACTTCTAACATTTTATGGACCATAGGTGGGGAGAGGAAGCAGAAGAGGGAAAGGGGAAAGGGGTAGAAGTGGAAAAGAACTGCGTGAGATTGGACAAACGTTTCTTAGGCAAGATTTCCAGTGAGGAGGCCTCTGAATGGCAGTGTCTGGGTTAGGAATGAAGGTATGTATATGGGTTTGGCTGGCCCAGAGGGCCCGAGTCCTTGATGGCAATTCCTCCCAGAAAACTATGGTGCACTCAGTGTCTACCAAGTCTGGCATGGGGTAGACAGCTATTCCCCATGAGGCCTGCCAGGCAAAGCCTTTGTAATTAATTGCCTATAGTTGGATCTGAAAGACCACACTCAGATTTTGGTCTGAAGCCAGATCCCTCATTTCTTATCTATTAGTTGTCACTCTGTGGTCATTTAATTTGCCAGGAAGTACGTACACATTTTCAGATTTCCCTTAGTGAAGGTCTGCTGGTGGTAACCTCTCAGTTTTTGTTTTTCTAAAAATATCCTTATTTTTTTTCTTGTTTTTAAAAATATATATTTTTATTGACTTTAGAGAGGAAGGGAGAGGTAGGGAGAGAAACATCAATGATGAGAGAGGGTCATCTTTCAGCTGCCTCCTGCATGTCCCCTCCTGGGGATTGAGCCCACAACCTTGGCATGTAACCTGATTGGAATGGAACCATGACCTCCTGGTTCATAGGCTGACACTCAATCACTGGCTGGGCTTTATTTTTTTTCCCCCCTGAAAGTTATTTTTGCTGATAGAATTTTTAGGTTGATAATTGTTATCTTTCAGCATGCTGATATCATTCCACTATCATCTGGCTTACATTGTTGCTGTTATTTAGAGTTAGCTGTTATTATTAATAATTATTGCTCCTTTTAAGTTAATTCATCTACTCTCTTCAAAGATACTCTCTGTGTTTTTTAGTCTGTAGTTTTTGTCATTGTAGACTTTTTTATTTCATTTGGAATTTACTGGGTTTCTTGATTCTGTGATTGATAAGTTTCATTATTTATGCAAAATTTTCATTTAGTAGCTCTTCAGATAATTCTTCTTTATATTTTCTCTTTTTGGAATACTGACTAAACATATATTCGATTATGTATCTATACCTTTCATATTTTTTACCTCTCATTGAGACTTTTCACATTTTCTTTTTCTGTGCTAAATTATTACTAATTTATTATCTTTCAGTTTATGAATTCTCTCATTTATTATCTTTCAGTTTATGAATTCTCTCATGAGAGAATTCATAAACTGAAAGATAATAAATTAGTAATAATTTATTACTAATCTATAATAATAATTTAGTAATAATTTATTACTAATCTCTCATCTCATTCACCTATTTCTCTAATTTTTAAATGTCACTTTACATCAGTTTACATTTTTAGAAGTTTTGATTCCTTTTATAATATGCTTGGTCAATTTTTATAATCTTTCACTCTCTACTCTTTCACTTTCTTAAATATAATTTGCATGGTTTAAGAAAATCTTAATCTAAAATTCCAGTATCAGAAAGGCATTGTTAATTCTGATTATTTATTTGGTTTGCTCTTGCTCAGAATGCTGATTCTTTTTGTTTTGTTTTTTTACTTTTGGCTGTGGTTATACGTTTACTATAACTTTACATGTGGGAATTTCTTTGAATCCTCCACTTGGCACTTATTTAATAATGGTAATTTTCCTTGTGGTCCACCAAGTTATTTTTTAGTTTACGATTTATTGAGGTATAATGCTTGAGATCCCCATTTTATTGGGGTTCTCTAATTGGTGGCTAGCTCTGGGATTTGTCTATCATCCGATTCCTGAAAGGCTTTGAAAATGGAATTCAGGTTTGAAACATTCTGCCAATTTTCTCAAAGAGAAAGATGGTCAATGTTCTGCTCTCTCTTCATGCCTTCACTTAGTTTTTTTGTCTAATATTCTTTACCTGTTAGCCAGTTAATTCATATATTTAAGAAAGTGTTTCTCTAAGATGCTTTTCAGCATTTTTCAGTACAAGGCTCATAGTACTAGTCTGCTACCTTGCCAGAAATGAAAGAATTTCCTGTGTATTTCAATAATTGTAATTGTTACCATTAATAAAACTGATTCTTTGTCTTCTAGAATTCAGTTACATGTATATTAGACCAACATACATGTTAGCTCACAGGTCTTGGCTGATCCATTCTGGTATCTGTTTTTCTTCACTCTTTTTTTCTCCTAGTGTTTTAGTTTGTATAAATTTTATTAACCTATTTTCAGATTCATTAATTTTTTTCTCAGTCTTGTCCAGTCTGCTGATAAGTCAATAAGGAAGTTCATCATCTGTGATGATGTATTTTTTATTTTAATATTTGCATTTGACTATTTTGAAGTTTTTATCTCTGCTAAAAATATTTTTCCGTTCATGTATGTTGTCCAATTTTCCCACTAGATTTTTTAACATATTACTCATAGTTATGTTAAAGTCCCACTCTGATAGTTCCAACATCTGGGTTATCTCTTAGTCTAGTTCTCTAACTTGCTTTAACTCTTGATAGTGAGTTTTTTTTTTAAACTTCTTTATTTATTTGCATTTTTTGGTGTGTCTTATAATTTTGTATTGAATACTGGGCATTGTGTGTGAAAAACACTAGCAGTTGTTCCCAGAGTGGATTTGACTCAATATTTTTGCTCTATAGAATCCTATAAATATTATTTAGCCTCTCTGATCTGCAGTCCTTTTATCAACAAATGCGAATAAGCCCCAACTTCATAAAATATTGTGCAAAGTATATAAAACAAAAATATAGTATAATTATCTGGTGACAAACTCTAATATTCTTCTTTAATATAAGGCAATGAAACTATATATACTTGACTTTTTTCCTAAATGGTGACATTTTTTTCTCTTAAAAAATCCATACCTTAGTAAATATACAAATTAGAAAGCCAAATACCTCTACATCAGTGGTCCTCAACCTTTCTAATGCCGCGACCCTTTAATACAGCTCCTCATGTTGTGGTGATCCCCAACCATAAAATTATTTTTGTTGTAATTTTGCTTCTGTTATGAATCGTTATGTAAATACCTGTTTTCCGATGGTTGCGACCCACAGTTGAGAAACACTGCTGTAGAGCCTAAGACCATCGGAACATATTTACATTATGATTCATTAACAGGAGCAAAATTACAGTTATGAAGTAGCAACAAAAATAATTTTATGGTTGGGGGTCACTACCACATGAGGAGCTGTATTAAAGGGTGGGGGCATTAGGAAGGTTGAGGATCACTGCTCTAGACATTCTATTAAGACCATACTACAATTGTGTATTCCTCTAATCCTTCAATAAATAACATACACAAATTAGTGTCACATATCTGATTTAATGTTCATAAATGCACTTCTAAAAATTAGAGAATTTCTAATCCAGTATTCTACTTTAAAAGTAGAAACAATGTTTTTTTCAGGTGGTATAAAGAAATGCCTCCACTGTGATCGCTATTATATACTGATTTTATGAATCATTCCTTATGTTATGAACAGAGGATGTGAAAAGTATCAGAAAACGTAATAATAGCATGAAAAAATGTGTTCTTTGAAAATGAATCAGATGAAATTGTTAGGTGAGACGGGGCTTCCTGAAGCTGAAGGCCCAGGATTCCTCCTGGCTAGACAGGGAAAAGCGCCTTATTTCTCGTTCTCGTTCTCGCTAGGACCTAGGCAGCATTTCCTCCATGTCCGCCACGACGTAAGATACCACAGCCCAAACAGCAGCAGCCACGTTCATCTGCTTCGGGTCCATGGCGGTCATGGTGTCTCCGTGGGAGTGATGGAAGGAGAAGTATTTATATAAGTCGTCAAGTAGACTGGCGCCTGGGGAGAAGAGGGGAAGGATTCTTAGTGAAGGATTTTTGACACAAACTGCTGCTTAGCTGCTCAGAAACCTCTGCCACAGCTTTTTGCTTCATTCTTGCCTGCTCCTCCGGGCCACAAAGGCAAAGCACTTTCCCAGCCCCTCTTGCAGAAATTCAGTGGTCACGTGACACCATTCTGACTATTAGTATATGAGTGGAAGGCCTTAGGAAAGTTCTAGGAAACTCTTGGTTGACAAAAAGAGTCAGGCAAAAACCCTGATGCTACCGGAGAGGTAGGTGTGGAGTTTGAAGTCACCTGAGACAAGAAGTCCACGCACTGAAAAGGGCCGTGTGGGAAGCCAGAGGGGCCTGCATTTAGAAAACACTGCTCACCCCAGGACCGAGCTCTGCACATCCTGCTTTTGGACTTCCTGCTGACGGGAAATAAGTTTGAGTAACTGACACCAAAGTCTTCACGTTTATAAAACGACAGTGTCGTTTTTTGTATCTGTGAAGAATGCAAATTATATACCTCCCTGGGGATTCAGAAGAAGGCCAACACCCCTTTCCTCAAGTTTTCCCTCAAATCATTAGTTTCCTTCCACGAAGTTCCCTGGCAACTTCCAAGGGCACCAGCAGGAGTCTCTGCCCTACTTGAAAGCTTTTCTCTCAAATGAAGCTTTTCTCTAGTTCCAGCTGTGGATTGGAGCCTCAATGAATCCTTGCTAGCTCATAGTCATCCTTCAGAATTCACTGGGCCCATTTTATGGGCTCCAATTGTAGTGGTTTAGCCTCCGGTTTTGTTTATTTACTGTTTTATGAAATATACACACATAAGATTGTAGAGAACGTAAATGTGTATTATAAAGAAAGAGAATCTAAAAAGTACACAATTCAATGCAAGAAAGATAGCACTAGTATCTTTGAAGCCTCTTTCATGAGCCCATGTCCACCCCTAGGCTCCGTTCTCACCACTTGTAGTTACTTTCCTCCTTCCAGAGGTCACTGTCCTGTGGAGCTTCTGTGTTAATTTTGTTAAATATGTTCACACACACATACACACTGAGTGGCCATATAATGATCTCTGAACATATAATGATCTGGCCACTCAGTGTGTGTGTGTGTGTGTGTGTGTGTGTGTGTGTGTGTGTGTGTGTGTATTAGAGGTCTGGTGCATGAATTCGTGCATGGGTGGGGTCCGGCCAGCGGGAGGGGACATGGGTGGTTGGCTGGCTTGCCTGCTGGTCGAATTTTTGGTTGAGGGGACAATTTGCATATTAGCCTTTTATTATATAGGATATACACTGGCCAGATTATTATGCATTCAGAGATCATAATAATTTGGCCACTTAGAGTGTGTGTGTGTCTAAAAGTTTAAAAAGTGTCTGCCTTTTGAACCATATACTACAGTTATATATCTATGACTTTTTTGCTCAATCATATGCAAAATTTATATGCTGTTGTATATAGCTGTAGTATTTTCATTTTTTATTGATGTACTATCTCATTTATTTACCCATTTCCTTGACAGTCGGCATTTACTTTGTTTCCAGTTTTCTGTTATTATAACATTCTGCTATCAGCATTTTCTAGGGTCTAAATATAGGACTGGAATTGCTGAGTTGTGTAGTATGTGTGTGCTTAATTTTATCATGCAATTCCAAAATGTTTTCCTTTGTTATTTATACTTGTACTGTCAATATATGAGTTTCCTCTTGCTTCATGTCCTCTCTAGCACTTGGTATTATCAAGTTAATTTTTGTTAATTGGTGTGAAATATCTTAGTCTGGTTTTAATTTCTAAAATTGAGATTAGGTGTGTGTGTGTGTGTGTGTGTGTGTTGTCAATTATGTTTTCTCTTTATGTTTTCTCTTTTGTGAACTGTTTGTGCCTTTGCCCATTTTCTTATTGATTTGTAGGAGTTCATGACAGTATTTTAGATAGTAGTCTTTTGTTAGCATTGTTTATGTACATAATTTCCCATTTTGTGGCTCTTTTTACTCTGTTTGATGAATAGATATGTTTTAGTGAATAGATGTTCTTACTTTTAATGTAGTTGAATTTACAAATATTTTCCTGCATTTACAAATATTTTACTTTTTTACATCTTAAATCCTCTTTACCCCCAAAAAATGAAAAACAAAACTTTAAAAGTTTTATTACATCAGAATATAAGTTCATCCACTTAAAATCGGAATTTTTTTTTTGCATATAGTAGGCTTTATTTTTCTTTTGTCCCAGCAGAATAGACTAAGTACATCTTTTTCTCCACTGATCTACAGTATCAATTTTACAATGTATCAAGTTTCCTTCTATTTTGGAGCTATTCTAATTTTGTTCCATTGGCCTATTAGTCTTTTCTCTGTGGCAATACCACAGAATTTTCATTACTGTTGTTTTCTAAGCCTTGTTTCTTCTCTTCTTTCTCCTTCAGAAGTGTCGTACTATTTTTGACAATTTGCTATTCCAGATAATGTTTAGAATAACCTACCCTGTTTTCCCAAAAATAAGACAGTGTCTTATATTAATTTTTGCTCCCGAAGATACACTAGATCTTATTTTCAGGGGATGTTTTATTTTTCCATGCGCTAGGTCTTATTTTCGGGGGAACACGGGGTGTGTGTGTGTGTGTGTGTGTGTGTGTATATATATATATATATAAAAGCCTAAGCAACTGTTAGGACCAGATGATAACTATGATGCACACTGACCACCAGGGGGCAGACGCTTAATGCAGGAGCTACCCGCTGGTGGTCAGTGTGCTCCCTGGCCAACCTTTCACGGTCCCTCCCTCTGGCTGTTGTCCTGATCACTGGCCAGGTTGAGGGACCCTGCCCGTGCACGAATTCATGTAGTGAGCTTCTATTTTTTGAATTTTGATGGGAATTATGCTAATCTATATATCCATTTTGGAAAAATTAACTCTGATTTGGATACGGTTTTCTTGTTAATGAAAATGGTGTGTTTCTGTTTAAGTTTTCTATAATGTCTCTAAAGTTTTGTAATACAGTTTTGCATGCCTTTTGTTAGTTTTCTTTCCTCCTTGGTTTCTACATTTTGCTAATTGTAAATTACACTTTTAAAAATTTGCATTTCCTGTTTGTAGCTATTTATGTTTAGCATCAAAGATATCTCTGATTCATAAAATGGCATATGTTCCTTTATTTTCCTACACCAGGGGATAGTTTATATCAGATTAGGAATAATTCATATTCATTTCTTTGCTATTTTGTAGAACTCACAAAATCATATGTCTGATTTTTTTTTTTTTGTAAAAAATTTAATGATTCACTATCTATCTTGATTTTTGGGTGATTCAGATTTTGAATTTCTTCTTGAATTAACTTTGGGAGTTATATATTTTAGGACTTTATGAGCTTTGACCAAATATTCAAAATGATCACAAACTGATTAATATTTTGCTTTTAGCTTTTTAAATTTATTGGGGTAACATTGGTCAACATGAACATATAGGTTTCAGATGTGGGTTTCTATTTTATAAGATCTGTATATTGCACCAGGTGCTCACTTTATATATTTTTTTGTTAAATGTTTGCAGCATCTATCTTGAGGGATGCCATCTTTTTCATTCCTGACATTGGTTACTATTGTCTTTTCTCTTTTTTTGTTCATCAATCTTGCCAGCGGCTTGTCAGTTGTATTAGTCTTTTGAACAACAGAAAAGAACAGAATTTTGGTGTTTCTTTTTAATACTTTCTATTGTATATTTTTTTAATCATTGATTTATACTCTTATTTCTATTATTCCCTTTTCTCTAATTTCCTGAGTTGAATGCCCATTCTATTACTTTACAGACTTTCTTTGTCTCTAGCATACGAAGTAAGGCTATAGTCTTCCCTCTGATACTGCTTTACTATCTATATCCTATCAGTTCAGATGAGTATTTTCATGATTATTCAGTTCTAAATATTTACTAATTCTCAGTTGTTTTTTTCTTTGATTCATGTGTTAAAATGTGTCTTTCAATTTTCAATTTTCAAAAGTATGGGGTCTCCTTAGTTAATTTTTCATTATTGATTCCTAATTTAACTGTTGGGAATGTGGGCTGTATGATATAAATTCTTTGAATTTTGTTGAGATTTTTTTCCTCTATAGGCTTTGTCTGATCCATTTTTATAAATGTTCCATGTGTTGAAAAGAATGTGTTTTCAGGATACTGCATATGTCCACTAGATCAAGCTTGTTAATTGTGTTCTTCAAATCTTCTAACTCCTTACTGATTTATTGTTTATTTGATCTATCAATTTTGAGAGAGGTGTGAAAATGCCTTGCTGTGATTTTTGGATGTGATAATTGAAATGTGTTAAAAAGAAATTGTCAGAATTATAAGAACAAAGTTATGCTATTAAGAGCACACATATTTAGAATTGCATCTTCCAGGTCAATTGAACATCTTTATTAATATGTAGTCATCCTCTTCATTCGTGGGAATGCTCATTATCGTGAAGTCTGGTTTTTCCTGATATTCAGTACAGCCACTCCGGCTTCCTTCTGCACAGTATTGGCCCAGTATGTCTTTACATGTAATTTTAGTTGAAGTTTTTCTTTGTCCTTTGTCCTTATGTTTTTAGAGGTTTCTCTTACAAATATTTTAAAATTAAATTTTAAAAATCTAGTCTAGAAATCTTAGTTTAGAAATCTTAGTTTGAACTGCAGAGTATAAATCATTTATTTAGATTGCGATTATTGTTCTATTGGATTCATTTATACCATTTTAGTTTTTGCTTTCTATGTGGTTAGTTTGTTTTCTACCTTTCTTTCTTGCCTTCTTTTATTTGATTTTTTTCTTCCTCTCATTTACTTTGTCAGTGGAGACTTTAGAAATCATAGCTCATATATTCATCTTAATAAATTTAAAGTTGATCACTATCTTATATAAGGTCATTAAGAGTCCATTATGTACTCTCTACTTACTCAAACCAGCACTCTAGAAAAACAAGAGATTGACCAAGACCCTCAGACAAATGCTAGGCTTTATAACAGTGGTTCTCCATCTTT